TTGACTAACTCTTGAGGGGTTAAAGTTTTCAATTGTTCAATTTTCTGAGTCAATTTAATAATTTCTGCTTCTTGTTGCTTAATCTTATCCAAAAGTTCTTGTTTTTGTCTTTTGCTTCACTCTTCAGATTTCTCTTGAAACTTAGCAACTTCCTCCCTTTCAATTTCTAGGGCTCCCTCTGCAGTGTTTAATTCTTCCTGCAAGCCATTTATCTGCCTTTCGTAAAAAGCAGACATACTTTCTCTTTCATGAGGCAAGTTAGGAAGTTCTTTTTCTTCTATGTCTTCGTTATATTCGATACAACGGCAAACATATTTTCCATTTGTACACTGCAATTTAGTCAAAAGTCTTCCACATCTCTCACATTTTAGCAGTTCCTCAATTCTATCTTTACAACTTTCACAAGCAAAATCATTCACAATAAATTCTCCAACTAATTTACTGTGAGTTCTGATTTGGCAGACTACTTCTCTACTACCTTTGTTTTCAAAACTAGAGCAAAAGTCACAAGTTAAGCTAATATTACTACATCATTCTTCTAAATCTAAAATGACATAGTCTAATTCTCTCATAATTACTTATTAACTGAAATCTCTATTTTAGTAACCATTTCTTGATTGCAGAATTTCTCTCTTTTGATTAATTTCTTTAAATAATGAACCTTAATTTTTGCTTTTGATTTTAATCGTTTGAAAATACTTGTTTGTTTAAAAATCTTATTTTCTTCTTCTTTAGGTAAAGCAGGCAATGGTTTTCTCTTTAAATCTAGTAATCTTTCTAACCCTTCTCTTTGTTTTTTTTCATTTGAAAGTTTTTTAGTGATTACCTCTATTGTTTTTAAATACTGCTCTCTTTCTGCTTTCAAATCTTCTTGTTCTTTTTCTTTCTTGGTGAGTTTTTGAGCAGTTTCTCTCAACAACTTTGATTTCACACTAATCTCTTCATTCAAAAGTCCTTTTTGTCAGTTCTTCCATTCTTCAGCTGTATTAATTGCTTCAATTAAGTCTTTAGAATTTTGGTCTAGTTTTTCAATAACTGTTAAAATAGTTTTGTTTAAGTCTTCCTTCGCTTTGCTTTTTAATTCTTTTAAATCTCCTAAGTCTCAGTTATGAATTTGTTCATCCCAAGAAATATCATTAATCTCTTCTTGTTCTTTATATCAAATTGATAAAGTTTCTATTGTTTGTCTTTGCAATTCTTCAACTTGTTCTTTATACTTATTTAATTCCTCAATTTTCTTCTCAAACTCTTTTCTTTGCTTGGTGTTTTCGTAACCTCTTTCACTTCATATTGGGATGTAATGAGAACATTTTTCAGCCACTTCTTTTGAACTATCAATAAATTCATCTAACATTTCTTCAATAGTAATGTTATCATAAAAAACTATTTCATTTTCCATTCTCACCTTTCCTTCTTCTAGTCATTTCTTACTTAATTGTTTATGTCATCAATTGCCAGGAACATAATTATTTTCATCAAATTGACCAGCAATATTTCAAATTTTTAGTTTCAGATCCTTTTTTGATTGTTTGATTTCATTTAATAATTGTTTGTTTCTCTGTTCAAGTTCATTTATTATGTTTGTCATGATTTCTTCTTTTCTTTTTTTTTTATTATTATTTATTCTTTTAATATACTTATATCCTTTTTATGGGTATATTAAGTATATAGATTATTTTAGTACTTTTTTATTTTAAAGTGGAAAAAGCTATATTTGTCAAAAGATTAAACTTATTAAAACTTAATGACAGCAAGAGACAAACTAATGAGTGAGTGACAAAGTTATGGAAGTGATTCTATTCTGAATGTTTTATTTGTTGCCAGTATAGAATGGTCTTGGGCAAGTAATATCTTTGTATTCATCTTTCACAAATGGGCGAATATTATGATAAAGGTATTCTTGTCTTTTGTAGTCCAAAGAAGGAGGTGTTAATACTAAAATAGATAAAGATTTGATCTCTTCAAAAATATCCACTTTCTTGGTTTTCAATAAATTGAATTCAACAAAAGATCCATTAGCAACTTCTTGAACTTTCACTGTACCAAGATTAGGTGCTTCAAAAAGAAAATGTTGATATTTCTGTATATTTGGTAATTTCTTAAAATAAATTCCCAAAATTGCTTTAATATCTGAGTATTGAAAACCTTTTCCACCTTCATAACATTGAGTTTTATTCAATCCTGCTGGACTTGATCTTTTTACCACATCAACCACATGATCTACACAATCTACTCTTGTTTTTCTATAAAGTTTTTTAATCAATCCAAAACTACCATCACATTTGAATTTAGTGTGTCCAGGAATCATGAAATTCAATTCAATACTTTGATAATAACCACAAATTACTAAATATAAATAAAATCAAATAGTAGTATTATTTTTATTCTGTCCACCAGCATTATCACAAGTAATCTTTAAATGCTTTTCACCTTTATTCAATTTCTTAATTCCATCAAAAATCATGCT